GCGGGCCGCCTATTGGAGAGAGGTGTGTCGGCCCTCGCGTAGTAGTGTCTACACAGTGGCGGGGCAAACACCACTCAGATGGGCAACACAAGGCACGTGGTCGAGTTGGATGTATGTTCCGGTCAGATCCCTAGTTTCCCAAACTTATTTGTCTTACTGCCCCCTTTTCACGGGGCGGGGCTGGGGCGGGGGAGATCGCTCGGCGACCCCTTGGCAGTGAAAACCTTTGTCCAGAAGCTCATCATCTTAGAGACAGTCTGGGGCGCAGAGATTTACGTATGGGGTCGCTAACCACAGGGTCAGCAGTTTGAAACCACCAAACCTCTCTGATGGAGAATGATGAGACTTTCTGCTATTGTAATAAAGAGTTACGGTCTCAGAAACTCTCAGGGGCAGTTTACCCGTACAATTAGTGTCGCTGTGAGCTGGCGTTCGTGAGATGGCAGCGAGTTTGCTGTTTGGGGCTTTAATCTGCTTCTGTTGGCTACCCCGCCCCTCATCTTTCCAGCACCCCCCAGGGGACGCGGTATCACCCGCACAGATGAGAGAGCTGGGGAAAGGAAAGGTCTACTCGACATTTTTAGTAGCTACCTTAAGAAAAACGGAAATAGCTGGTATTAATTTTAACGATGCTTTTTATTTAATGCAGTATATCCACATTAATGTCATTTCAACTTATAAGCAACATAAAAATATTAATGAGATATTTTAATATTTGAAAACAGGTAAGTTTACGCATTCAAAACCCCAACCACACTGTCAGAGAGTAGATTCTGACTCATAGATGCTATATTGGGCTTCCACGGCTGTGTATCTTTACAGGACCAGACCGTCTAATCTTTACTTCCACAGAGGGGCTGGTCTGCTTGAACTACAGTTGTTTTGGTTAGCAGTCCAACCATAGCCCACAGTGCCACCAAGGCCCTTTTTTAGATGTGCCCATTAAAGCACTTGCTTGTTTCAAGTGCTCAGGAGTGACATGACTAGTGATCAACCTGATTCTAAAAGGTAAACAGATCAGAATTTGTGGTATCTTGTGAACCACCTGAAGGATTTGGGATATGAGTCAGCATGGCACTGAGTTGGATATGGGGGATTTGAGGGCATTGGTACCATTTTGATGCATTTTTGGCTGAACAATAGCAGACTGAGCTCCCAGGCTGTGTTAAGCAGCGGAAGTCCGGAAACCAGATGAAGACTTTGTCTTCTCCTTATCTTCCATGCGACTCTCGCCCACAGTGATAGCTTGTCTTTAAAGGCATAGCATTTATTGTCCAGGCTATTTGCTTACTAATCATACCCTGTCTGGTGGCATCTTTTATCTCGATCTGTCATTTTTCCAATTTCTAAGAAATTTTCTAAAAGCTGGATCTGGATATTTACTTATGGAAAAAATATTTGGAAGTGAGTCTCCAGTTATCTTTAGTTGATAAATGTCTCAAGCAGTCAGTGTCAGATGATCTTGCTTGGAAAGGTTTCAGAAGGCACTTAAGCTTTTCATTTTTCAAATACAGTATTTCTTGAATCTCAGGCACCATCATAGCTTGTGATACACAAGTGAACAAGTTGAATTAAAAGGTTATTTTTTCTTTTTAAACTCCTTTTATTGAATTGAAAGTTTTAAGTAGTAAGCTTTTTGAGCTCTGACTATGTCTGATGTAATCCTTACCACAACCTTGTAAGTAGGTTCATATAAAACCTTACTGAAGAAATGAGGAAACAGACTCAGAAAGCGGTAAGGAATTTGTCCAGGCTCATTCCACTCAGAGCACAGCTAGTGCGTTAGGCTGGGTTGTCTAGAGAAACAAAACCGGTGACACATAAGAAAGAGGTTTATTGTTGTTGTTGTCATTGTTAGGTGCCATCGAGTCGGTTCCATTCCATAAGGACCAATAGAACAGAATAACCGCATGACCCTGCGCCATCCTCACCATTTCTGACCAGAACTCTTGGTTGCAGCCGCTGTGTCCGTACATTTCGTTAAGGGCCTTTCTCGTTTGTGCTTCCCCTCTACTTTATTCAATACGATGTCCTCCTCCAGGGACTGGTCTCTCCTGACAATATGTCCAAAATAGTAAGATGAAGTCTTGCTATCCATGCCTCTAAGGAGCATTCTGACTGCACCGCCTATGTCAAATAATTTTATATCAGGAAGACATCCTACCCTGCTTCCAATTAAGTCCACTGGTCTGATGCTGGCGAGAGCCCTCCTCAGACTCCAGTAGCTACAGGCCGATGACACAGAAAGGTGAAGTAGTCGCGTGGATACTGGCAAGGAGCTTGGCAAGGTGTTGACAGCTCCACGGGTTGGCAGTCCACATGAGGCCACACCTGGAGGCAGACCAGCATCCAAATAGGAGGCAGGGGAAGGCCTAGAGAGAAAAAGGCCACAACCTTAAAGAGGCGTCATCCAGCTGTGACCCAGTTAATAGGTTGGACCCCACTCCTATGCTTTCACACAGGGTCAAGTTGACATAGCCACCATAGCTGACTCCTTAGAAGCAAGATTTTCTGAGTGAGCTGTTTCTCCTATAATACAGACAAGATAGACATAATAATTTAGGTACAATGGAATTTCCCTGTGGAGGGTTATAAAAATCTCAGTACCTGGCAGATTTGCAAGGTAATGGGGAGCACTGTGGCATTTTGAAGGTAGAAGTACATTGTTTGATATTTACATCTGTAGATACTTTTACTTAGAAGGTGTGTATAGAACCCAAGACACCAACGTGGAAGCTTATGTAATACTAGGCACATGAAGGCTAATGGGTAGGCAAGTGGTTCTGAACCTGGCACACCCCAAATACTTTGGAAAGTAAATCTCCCATATTGTCCTGAAAGGAGAATCATAGGCAATATCTATCCATAAGCATATTTTAAAAAAACAACAGTATAATGGTGTAATTGTCACAGGGATAAAATAAGTGCCTTATTAGAAAACAAGTCTATTTCAATAAGCAAATACTCAAGTCTTGGCTATGTTAGAAGATACAGTAAAGCAATTGTTGGATGGCATTTTTGCACCGATACAAAGGACCAGCATGAATTGCACAGCTCCAACTGAGACTGATTCCCAATGAATTCTGTTGGCAGTGCAAGACATTGTCCGTGACAGGGTCTCAAGTCATGAACAACTTAGCAGTGGAATTGGGAACAAAGCAAAGTAGGATCTGCTCACAGTGAACATGGTAGTTGCACTTCTGAAGAATTCAGTCTCTAGTAACATAAAAGGTGCAACGTTTGTTCTCTCTTCTTCTGAAGCAAAAAAAGTGAAGAAAATCAAAGATGCGTGGAAACGCTTAGTCAGTAGGACTGATGAACCATGCGCACCTCAGCCTCCAGGACCTCTGACCAGAACTCGGTTGTGCCCAGACTCTACTACTGCTCTCTCCACGAAGGATCACATATAAGATGCTGGATAGAGGGGAGGGAAATGTGGAACAACAACCAAGCTCAGGGTCGCTGGTCATTGAGAGACTGGTGGAACCCCTGTGGCTATAGCTCCTAGTCACCTTTCAGGCGCAGACCAGAGCTCATTCTCAAAGCTCAGCTGTCAGCCAACTGTTGGATCCATCAGGTGACCAGTAACACCAGAGATAGCACTTAGAACTATCTACCAAGTCACTGTCAAGAAACAAATTGTGCATGACTTGTTGAATGGAGAATGGATTTACTCTGTAAACTTGAACCCAAATCATCATAATAAGGGTTTTTCTTTTTTTCCTCCAAATAATATATTTTCGATACAATACAATTTCGACCCTGTGTTATTTCGATACAATAATATTTAGGCTAAGATCATCACAAACAAACTGTTTACTTTCCTAATGTCCCCCCAAGAAGCACCCTTGGTGGCATAGTAGTTAAGCACTGGCCTGCTAAATGCAAACTGGACAGTTGAAAACAACCAGCTGCTCCGCAGTAGAAAAGTGAGGCTTTCTGTTCTGGTAAAGAATTACAGTCTTGGGAAGCCACAGGCACAGTTCTACCCTGTCTTATAGGGTTGCTATGACTCAGTCTCAACCTGATGGTCGGGCCAGTTTGGTATTTTGGGTAATGCCCACTGAGGGAGCTCTGGTAGAATGAGTAAGGGTTGTGCTAACTGAAAGGGCAGCTGTTGGATTCACTAACTGCCCAGCAGGAGAAAGATGTGGCTGTCCGCTTCAGAAACCATATAGCTCAGTTCTAGGCCTTGTAGTAGGGTCACTATGAGTAGACACTGCAGATTTGGGTTTTGTGGGTAATATCCATTCAGATGTTTGTAAATCTTGAGAAATGCAGACACTCTGCTTACAGGATTGCCCCTTGCATTTTAGGACTTGTAGAATAAGTGGTCTGTATTTATCGAGGAGCAATATTTCAGCCTTCCTCCCTTCTAAACTTTTGCAACTAGCAAAAAGGTACATACAGATTTTCAAAATAACTGCTTTTGTTGGGAATTGTTGGGCCAGGTAGTGGCCAATGAGGAGGAGGGAAATAGAATTGATAACATTGGGAATGTGGAAGTAAGACCCGGAAGTGAGAGAAGCTGGTAAAGGACTAAGTGTTAGGAAAAGGGGAAAAATGACGTAGGGCTAGGGAATATTTGATAATCTTACTGAAAATTGTCCATATGTAGTAAGCCAAAAAACCCAACTGACTACCATTAATTTGGTTCCTAGTGCCCCTGTAGGATAAGTTACAACTGCCCCTGTGGGCTTCTGCTAC